CTCCTCCTCCTCCTCCTCCTCCTCCTCCTCCTCCTCCTCCTCCGATACAAAGTTCTGATTCTTGCCTTTCTTGTGATTGTTAATTGATGCTGTTGTAGTGTCTCTTTGATCTTTGTCTTTCCATCTTCTCCTGGGTCTGCCTCCTGTTCTTTGACCTTCTCTTTTTGTATATTCCATTCATAACCAACGTTTAAAAATGAATTCTTAAGAGTCGTTTAGTTATTGGGCCATATCCTCTCCTGTTTTATATAGCTCAAAAATTCTTTCCTTTGTCCGGAGAAGGAAGTGCAAGATTCTTCTTAGCCACCTTGAAACTTACTTCAGTTTTGTTTCTTATTTGCCCACCAGCGATGCACAAACAGATGGAGCAAGATCAAAAGCGATTTGGCCAAGCTGCCTGGGCCTCTGCTTCTCCAAGATTAGAAAACTTAAAATATCTGCTAGCAAAAGAAACCCTTCAGCACATGAGAGCCAGAGAACTGGGCCTGAAGCACAAAACAGTTGATATCAGAAAGCAGGTAAGGCTATTTCTCCCACTCCCTGTTCCCCTCCACCATATGCATCCATTCATCATCATCGTCTTTTAATGACCCCATAATCCCGTGCGGGGTGGAGTCTGGGCAACTGAATGGACCTAGGTTTTTACTGACCAGATGCCCTTCCTGTCACCGATGCGGAGGTTTTTTTTTCAGTAGATATATTCTCATTGTGCCCAGAGAGAGAAATATCTGCCTCTACCTAGGATCGAACTCACAGCCTCCTGATTGCAAGGCGAGAACTCCACCTCTAGGCCACTGCACCACTCTGTCATGTGCATCCATACTCTGGCCAATCCAACAGGCTTTGTGGCAGGCAGAGTGTCCAGTTGCTGTAATGGCATCAAAACTGAAAAAAATGGGCAGAACACCAACACAATGACATGCTTGCTAGGCTAAAATTAATTGCTCAGGAAAAGTATGTTCAAATGCTTTCTTGAGGATACTGTACATTCAGATTTATTTATTTATGGTCATGGACCAAAATCCAATATAAAACATCCACAACAACCAGTGCAGTAAAATATTAGAAAAGTACATCTGGAGTAATATAACTAAGCTTAATTACTCAGACTTTCTTTATTGCATTTTCATGATAGATTAATATCTCGCCAACTTCTTGGAAGTTTCTGGGGATTTATTGCCTAATAATGAGCGATCTTCTTGAAACCCAATAGGAAGGTCAATCTGATTTCCATCAGGAGACTTATTTCAGAGCACCTCTTCCCACAACCTAGAATTGCAATATAAATTTGAGGATCATCAGCACATTCCTACATGCCAGATGACCTCCCTTATACAGGTGTTAAAAGGAGGGGGGAAGAAAACCAACTCTCGGAGACTTCAAATTTCAAGTCCTACCAGCTAAACCTCTCATTCCCCGTTCCATTGCAGCTGAAACTGATCTCAAGGAAGAGTCGTTACAAATTCCAACCCGACAGGCAGTCCAGCAAGATATGATGCTTGATAGTATCAAAAACCATCAAGAGGTCTAAAAGGACCAGAAGAAATGTCCTACCTCCATCCAGGTCCCAACAATGTCATCTAGGACAGGGGTCGCCAACCTTTTGGACCTCAGGGACCACCAAACTCGTAATTTTAAATCCCGCGGACCACTAATATGAATTTTGACTGACGGGTGGCTTGCTGACATTGGTAGGAAAGTTGGTCCCATATTCCAGAGCTGCATTAGTCACAGGACTGGCCCTTTGGTCATCCCAGAGTAGAAAAAGCAGAAGCAGCAGAGACCCTGGGAAAATCCCCAAAAAAGTCTGCAGGAAAATTCCCCACCCCATTTTCCTACCGATCGATCATTCTTTATTTGGGATCTCAGAATACCGTCTCCAGCTCCGTTCTCAGGGGGAGGAGAGAGAGAGAGAGAGAGAGAGACGTTTGGCTTCGTGCAAGGAAAGCAGCAGAAGCAGAGAAAGTCTTTCTTTCTCTCCCCCAAACTCCGCCAGAAACGAGTCTTTGTGAGACTTGTTGCGCTGGCACAGCCTCTTGGAGCAGGATACCTTGCAGGGTCCCAAAGACTCATTTCTGGCGGAGTTTGGGGGAGAGAAAGAAAGACTTCTGCTGCTTTCCTTGCGTGCAGCCAAAAGCAGAAGAAGAAAGGAGCGGAAAGAAGCAGTCCGGTGGCCAGGCGAGGCATGTGGGGTGAGTGGGGCAAGTTCCCCACCGCTGCCCTTTCCCCCCTCCCCTCACTACCTTGTGTTGTTTACAATGCAAGGGACACAAGCTTTGTATCCCTTGCATTGCGGGCCATGTGGGCAGCGCAGCCTTGAGTTCCCGCACAGCCTGGATTAATCACTTTGGGGGGTGCTTTGGAGATGACATTTCTCTGCGGACCACCAAAATTTTCTCACGGGCCACCAGTGGTCCCCGGCCCACCGGTTGGTGACCACTGATCTAGGACAGCACCCAAAGCCACTTCTGTCCTGAGTCTAATTCCTTACTATAAAGGATCCCGTAACCTCATTTCTTCTCGAGTGCTATAAAGTTGTCCACCATTATTATCTTCACCTTCTTTCCTCCCAATGCCTCATTTTGCATGTAATATTTGTGGCCTTAATAACATTTCCTGTTTTTGGGGAACTTCCCAAGATGGAGATGCTCAGCGAGCAGAAAAATGACGTGGCTCAAGTGGAAAAACTGGAACTAGAATATTACGAAACCCAGTTGGAGCTGTATGAGGTACAGTTTGAAATACTGAAGAATGAAGAAATGTTGCTGGTTACGCAGCTGGGGACGTTGAAGAGACAAATCAAAGGTGAGGACTGAAGACAGGATATATTTATCGCCTGCGCTTTGCATTTTAATCTGAACCGGGTTATTTCTTGTTGGCACTGGAACTAAAACGGGAGGATTTGCTTCCTTTGCTGCATTTCTCCAAGTTCTACAATGCAATAAATGTATTTATTGAGGAGAGAAGATAAAAGTTTGAAAAAAACATGTCAGAGAAAATTGCAGTGGGAAATAGATAACATTTACCTATAGAATCTACCATTTAAATCTGACTGTTCCAAGTTTAAAGAATTCTTTTAAAAAAATCATAGTAAAGAAACTACAAAAAAAGGAGGTTTTTAATTTTTCAATCTGCTAATTGTGGCCCAGCCTTAAATCACTGAATTAATCTAATTCCTCAAGTCCCAAAATGCTTTTCCAAAAGATAATTGGATTTCTTGGGGTTTTTTTCCTTTGAAAACATTTCGCTTCTCATCCTGAAGTTTCTACAGTTCCTCAAAACTGAAGAAGCTTCTTGGATGAGAAGTGAAAAGTTCTTAAGGAAAAAAATCCAAGAAAATCCAGTTGCCTTTTGGAAAAGCACTTTTGCAACAACCATGATCTGGATGATTGAGAATCTCTGTAGACATAATTCCCCAGGTATTACTGATACAATCAGAATGTAGCAACAAACAAAACAGATCTTCCTCCAGCAGCATGAATGAAAGAGGTTGAAACAGGAAAGATAAGGATGAAATGTCACAATGCAAGCCCCGCCCCTTTTGTAAATATATCATGATTGTGCCCACCCTTCGCAGTTGCCACTGTCTCCAGTTACAGTGGATGCAAATGGAAAACCAGTCATTACTCCTAGTATTGATCCAGTAAAGGTAAAGGTTCCCCTCGCACATATGTGCTAGTCGTTTCAACTCTAGAGAGCGGAGCTCCTCTCCGTTACAAAGCTGAAGAGCCAGCGCTGTCCGAAGACGTCTCCGTGGTCATGTGGCTGGTATGACTAAACGCCAAAGGCGCACGGAACGCTGTGACCTTCCCACCAAAGGTGGTCCCTAATTTTCTATTTGCATTTTTTCATGCTTTCAAACTGCTGGCTTGGCAGAAGCTGGAGCAAGTAATGGGAACTTACTCCGTTACGTGGCGCTAGGGATTCGAACTGCTGAGCTACCAACCTTTCTGATTGACAAGCTCAGCATCTGAGCCACCGCGTCCCTCTCATTGATCCATTAGGCACTAGATATTCTATTAGTGGATCCTGCTCTTGAAGACTTCTGGTTGCTTACCCTTCACCCCAAGTTTTCAACTGACATCTCTCCAAGAGTTGGGGGCAATAGGTTGACTCTGTAAACCACTTAGTGAGGGCTTTAAAACACTATAAAGTGGTATATAAGTCTAAGTGCTATTGCTATTGCTAACAGTGAGGACAATCAACCAGTGGAACAGAAGTTATGGGTGCTTCATTACTGGAGGTTTTTAAAGAAAAGACTGGACAACCACCTCTCTGAAATGATAAAGGGTTTCCTGCTTGAGCAGGGGATTGGACTAGAAGACCTCCAAGGCCCCTTCCAACTCTGTTCTGATTGATTGATTGATTGAGCTAAAGGACAACAACTATCAGCAAATGTCTGAGTTTTCTAGTAAGGCAGTAAAGCTGGTAGGAGAGGCGGGGTTGCATATTTTACTCATTGAAATCCTTGCCCCTTCCATAGAGATCCAGGATGAAGTAATTTACTATGACACCTGTGAAAACTCTGAGGAGTTAGAAGCCATGGATCGGGCCCTGGAGTCAAGCAGTGCCTCTTCTTCTGAAGTGGCACAGCTCAGGCAGAAGACCCAGCAGCTGGAGACCAAACGAGGGATTATTTGCTCCAGGAGAGCTTATCTCAGGAACAAGAAGGTAACTAGTCCAGAAAAATCTTTTATGAGTTGGTGTGCACTGCATTGTTATAGGCCACCTCAGCCGGCCTCGGAAACCATTCCGAGGGGAGAAGGTCTACCTCTCTACCAAATACTTAAAAACTAAAACTGCCATGCAAGAAACTAGGTGCTAAGTTTTTAAGACCATTCCCCATTGTGAGAATTATCAACCTGGCCTCAGTGGAATTGAAGCTTCAGCTAAAGTCGTTTAGAGAGTTGACAAAACCTTTGACAAACCTAGAAAATCTGTTGAGACTTGGGATGTGTCATGCCCCTGTTGGAGTCTGAATCTGAGGAGGAAGACAAACAGCTGACAGGGAGTGGGAGTGTGGCTCTGTTGGCTGTGGAGGAAACTGGGGAAGGGCAAAGTCTGGCTGGTCATAGCAGGGGAGAGATAGAACAAGGGAGAGGGAGTTCAGAGGAAGACTCAGGCCCACCCCCACTTCATCCTAGGGCATGCAGGGAGGAACGGAGAAGAGAGCAACGTGGGTTGCATGGCTTATGGGGAAGGAAAGGGCCCCGATTCCCTTCATTAGTCACAGCTGGGAAGAGAGTTTAAAAGAGATGCATGCTGAGTGTGGCAGCTGCTGGGAGCAAGAATTCCAAACTGTGTTGAGTTATTGCCGTGCCTTCAGGTCTGGAATTCTTGCTCTTGCAATTACCTCATTTTTGCCTTGATTGGACTTATAGTTACAGTTTTTGTTGACCACACTTTGGACTTGATTCTCTGCAGCCAAAGGCTGCTCCTGGGAGAGAGGTTTTCTCCAGCAAGAAGGTAACCAGGACATTTGGGGGAAAGTTGGAGCTAATAAAGGGATTCTTATTATCTGACTGTGTTGCCTTTGTGCCACGCCCCGGGTAATCACAGGATGCTTCTAGATTCTTCTTGAAAAGCAGAATTTAAGATTCCATCTCTGCTGTGGATTTCCTTCCTTGGGAAGACAGCATCTCCTAGACATAGCATCTCTAAACTATAGGTAGTTCAGATGTTGTTGAACTACAACTCCTAGTGTAACCATCCATATTGTCATGAAGGAAAGTTCTCGGGAACCAAACCAATCAAAAGGATTGGAGGATCACAGGCTGTTTGAGGATGGCTGAATTTGGATCCCCGTTACCCATAACACCAGGATTTCAGACCCTGTAGCTCGTGTTGTTGTGTTGTTGTTTTTAAATGTGTGTAAATCAAACACTAGGACCATAATTCATATATTAGAAAATGGTCTAAAAATATGGACTTGGGAATTGTTGGTTCTTTTTGAATGGAACTTGCACAACTGTAATGTATGTGTTCTGCAAAAGAAGGCTTGTTGGATTTCTCTTAGCCTGGTATTGGGGATGGTTGCACAATTATTCCTTTAATTAAGAAATAATTATTAAGCAAAGTGGGGGCAGAGGGACAGCATCTCCCTTGGGTCAGGAGAGAGGATCAAAGGCATCAAGAAGTCCTCTGTTAACCTACTGCTGATAAACAGGGGCTAAAGTACATATAACCAGTTAGCAAGAGTCTGTATGTAATCTAACTTCTTTCCCCATGCAATAAATCTAACTAATGAGAATGAGTTGAGAATCTGTTTTTCTTGGTTGGAAGTCACCATTAGACTCCAGCTTTAAGACTTATGGACTTCAACTCCCAGAATTCGTCCTCCAGTCATGTTAGCTCAGGAATTCTGGGAGTTGGAATCCACAAGTCTTAAACTTGCCAAGTTTGAAGACCCTTGCATTAGAGGTTCAGTAGAAATTCCCACCCACCCCCAACATGACGCTGACCTACCAAGCTCCTGATTATCATCAGTTGGGAGAAATTCTCCAGAATTGCAAAGAAAGATCTTCTTTCAGCCCAACCTGCAGATGGCAGGTCTTAGGGCTGGAACAACTTTGTGCTAAGTTACGTCTTTTCCCCACAATCCTTTGCACGGGGGCTTGAATTGTATTTTTTTAGAAAGTTCAGTAGGAAGTGAATAGAAAAGCTATGAACCCAATATTCTGATTCAATGGATTTAATTTCTGCCTGAATCTTCAGATTCCGGCTAGTGGAATATTTGCACTGGTTTCTTTCCTCATAGGACCAATGTGAAGAGAGCCGGCGTTTGAGGCTCCAGCAGGCCCAGGAGACCACACGCTACTTCCAACAGCATCACAACATCCAGATTGTACGTATTAAGAAGTAAAGAGAGAGAGCATTCTGTTTCCAGTAATAACAGTGTGGGTCGATAAAATGTGGAATTGTTCTTCCTTTCCAGAATCTTAGTTTATTTTGAAGGCAGTCTAGGTAGCCCTCATAATACAGGATGGCTACTGCTATTCCAAAACCAGAAAGACACCTATTAGGTGGAAGCTGTACTACCCCACAAATTAATGGGGTGTAGATGTGGTATAGACTGGTATATATGGGGTATAGATTGGCATGATGGCTCAGTGGTGAAAGATGCTGAGCTTGTCAGCTGGAACTGGCAGCCCAGGTTCAAGACCCGAGCACTGCATGACGGGGTGAGCTTCCGTTCCTTGCTCCTGCTCACCTAGCAGTTCGAAAGCATGCAAATGCGAGTAGATAAATAGGTATCACTTTGGTGGGAAGGCAACAGCATTCTGCGCACTTTAGAGTATAGTCATGCTGGTCACATGACCACAGAAATGTCTTCGGATAATGCTGGTTCCCTCAGCCAAGAAACGGAGATGAGGTCCACACCTTAGAGTTGGACACAACTGGACAGGGAAAACCTTTATCTTTTTAGGTTGATTCCATTTATATGTTGCTCTTAGTTATAGACTTTTGAGTTTCCTGGAGCTAAGAACACAATCTTACTTTCTGTCCATTTGTAAGCAAGTTTCATTGTGGGCACTTTGGTTTTTTTCAAGCGAATATACACTGAGCGTGCTTGTGAGTGGGTGAATATCATGGGAAATTCTAACACAACCATCATAATAGTAATATTTATTTATGGTCCCAGACCAATAAATGAGAATCTAAACAAGGTAAACAACTGTTAAAGGAAGAGATATTTATACAGACTCGTAATGAACTGTATATAAATTCTAGGGCTGGACAGCACTTATTTTTTTAAAAAAATGTTTTATGCAAAATTGCAAATATAGCAACTGTCTATAACTCTTTAAAACAGCCACACCTTTTCCTGGGATTGCACATCTGCCTTTCACAGCTGCTTTCAGGTGTGGCACTTGGGTTGAGGTGTGGCACACTGGAGTTGAGACTCCAGAGCAGTTTTTGGAAATTAGATCAATACTCTTAATTTCTTCTTCTCTTCTCTTCTCTTCTCTTTTCTTCTCTTCTCTTCTCTTCTCTTCTCTTCTCTTCTCTTCTCTTCTC